AATAGTAAGTTTTTGCGTTTGTTTGTACTTATTCAAAAATGGTAAACGACTTTGTCAGTCAAAATACTGCAAATGCGCGCATTATTCTTTCAAAAAAATTTTGTTTCTAAACATATTTATAGTATTTACTCCCCTTGTTTTTTACTTAAAGATAAAGAGAGCTTTATTTTATTATTATTATTATTATTAGTAAAATAATAATAATAACTGTCAATAAAGAGTGTTGTGGAAATAAGTTTCGACATGAAAAATTCCAGGGCTTAAACAGTATAGTCCGTAAAATGCGTTTCTGCATCCTAAAGACTTGCTCCGCACGTGGGGAACCTCCCCAACAAACCAAGACGTAGTTGAGACACGAATAGACATACGAAAAATAGTACATTTTTAACAAGGGGAAAGAAACCTGATGGCGGAGCCTCCAAATGACAAAGCAGTAAACAAAAAGTTTTCTGAGAATGTGGTCCACCTGTTCGAACCAGGAGAGTCTCGAGTCTACATAAACTCCGAGGAATTTTACAACACTTTTCTGTTGAATAAACTCTTATTTAAATCCTGTGTTGAAAAGGCGATCATCTCAGTTTTACTTTTATTCAATATCAATTTGTTAATTTCTGCATAATGTTTCATTTGCTCAACCGTTGTCTTGGTTGCAATGCTAAGTTGCTCAGACGATGCTGCAGAAAGGGTAGAAACTGTATGGGGAAAAGACCTGGAATCAGAGACGTATTCAAATCCTAAGGTATCTCTTACTTACTTGCTTGCTTGCTTCTTACTTATTACTTACTTCCTCACTTACTTACCTACTTAGTTAGTTTCTTACTTACTTAATTACTTACGCACTTACTTACTTACTTACTTTTTAGTTTAGAAATGTACGAAATGTTGGAAGTCCATTAATGAGAGGCTGAAATATCTTGATGTCTCTTTAGGAACGCATTTAACTATGGCTTTAATTCATACCTGTGTCCAACCCCTTTGGATGGAAACCCAGACTTTTTCACCTTCTGAATATATCCACTAAACATTTTTTGCCTGAGTTTATTATTCATACCTTCTTTTATCTGATAATATGCAAATAATTTATAATTTAGTTTTCGAACACATAGGAAACGGAATTAACATATCAAATTCATAAATAATTAATCAAATAGTTTGTTGGCAAACTCTGTTATTAATTTAATACTTTTCACTTTCTTTTTCATATTTTTTATGAAATGGGTTCTATAAATTTTGATTTCCAAAATTGAAAAAAGAATTGCAACCTGCTCATCATCCTGTCGATTTGGGCAGAAGTTATTTTTCTTCGTATTTTGATTCTTTGATTCTCTACAATTCTTTTACTCCTGATTACTGCTTTTCATTTTATTACACAATCGGAATCCTGGTAGTATTTTGTCGTACAAAATTCTCCCTATTGACTGACCTACAAATAAAATATCGTTTCAGCGCCCCCCTGCCGGAGTCCCTTTTCAGCGTACCCCGCCCGACCCCCCGGCCCCCATCACCCTGGCCGACGTTTTGCTTGTTATTGGAATGGCCGGTAATTAATTTCTCTTTGGAATTCGCCTTATTGGGGTGACGTTTGACTTACGACCGCTGTCTTCCTGCTGTCTCGTACAGTGGCGTCGGGGGGCGGGGAGTTCCAATAAGCGTCATGTTCCACGTTTTTTTTTGTTAAATAACCAGCGGCGCCGACGCAAAAGGTTTCCTCAAGGGTCCTAACTAATTATTTCATGCAAAGGAGAGACAGTCACTCAGTGTTCCTCCACTAATATACGTAACATGGCCAAAGTTGACGTCACAGGCCATTACTTTTTTTTAATTTTTAAAAATAAAAATTTGCTAAAAAACATTTTGGACGAATATCAAATCTTTTTCTAAAATAAAAAAAACTCAAAAACAAAGAAAATGTTTTAAACACTATTCACAAAATTTCGAAGAGACATAAATGCTGTCAACCATATTGAAGAAAATAGTTAGAAAACTTAAAATAATGTGATAATTTTTTGACTTAAACAAATTTAGCTTTTTCTTGTGAAATTGAAAATGTTATTTAAATAATCATCCCGTCTCACAGTATATCGCTTTTGATGAACTAAAAAAAAGGGAGAAGACAATAAAACCAATATAATTATTAATATTCATTATGAATCCAGTTACAAAAAATATTGTTATTATTCTAATAATTAGTCTGTTTATTTGTTAATTCGAAATCAATAATCAAATTCAATTTCTGTGTTTCACGTTAAAATTATTAATTAATTAATTGTCTATCGTTACAGTAATTAAATTAAGAAAAATAAATGTTGTACTAAGTTAATTTGGTATCGGTTTAATATAATGCTATTATTAGTTGAATACTTGAAACGTAATTGACATGCGGGTTGAAAGGGGAGCGAAGAGGAATGTCTCCCTCCCGTCTGACCCGACAGGGCTAAAAAAAAGCCTTAATTAGTGAAACGACACCAAAAAGAACGGACTCGATAGCCGCTCGAGACTAAAAGCTTTTTACGATCCTTCACCTCTCCCCTTTTTAATGTGTCAAACCTTGGCGAGCTTTACTCAATTATGATACGTCGGTCAGCAACCACACCCAACCCCGCGATAATTTTGTCCTCGGGATAATTTTAAAAATAAATCGTATAGACCTTTCCCTATACGATTTTTCGACCTCTTTGGAGTTCTATTGAGAGATGACGGGCCAGAAAAACACGACTACAAGCCATTTCAATTAGTAACGGGCTCCCCTGGGTAAGAATCCTAACAACCGAAAGTTTGGGGGTTGTTAGGGTCTATAAGAGGATGTTTTGACCGTTCGATTTTTTTTAACCCCTGCGTATCGCTGTCGATTGACGGTCACGTGCCAACCACACAAGTGCAATTTCACTTACTATATCCTTCTGAACTGATTTCAGCTTTCAAAGTTAAAAAGTGGCACAAATTTTAACCGATTAGATTTGAGATGTAGTTTTTGTGTATGTGGATCGATCGCTATGTTTGATTTTCCCATACGTTCATTATAAGTAACAATCTGTAGTTAATGTATTTGTTATAATGTTTACGGTATTGATGTGTTAGTGGGTCTCTTGTCAATAGAGAGCCTCTGTTGTTGGTGGGAAGGTCTTCCGACCTTGCCATTAGAATTTTTTTTCATTAAGCCACAAAAGGAGTTGTCTTATTTTAGATTTGACAATTATCCTCTAATTTCGAAAATCTAAAAGGGCTTTGCTAATTTAATAAGGTTTTGGTTATGCGTCTCTGGAGTCCTATTGTTATACGCCAGTATTACCTGGAGGAGTGCTGATTAAAGCACTTTGAATTAATACATAAATGGATCCTTAAAATAATACATAGAAAATGCCTCAAATTAGTATTAGTATATAAAGCTTTTCAAAATAAATTCGAAACCTGATTGCTTGAGACAAATATTCCAGCAGATTCCGCGGTATAGTTCTCAAAATTATTTTGTTATAAAATATTTGTTAATTAATAGTAAAGTAATAATTTTTCAATTAAACTTCCACAGGCTGTCTGTATTGCCACGGCTATTTACAAATCTTTTGGGCTTTTTAGTTAATGTATTTTTTTTTACTTTTAAAGACTTGTTTTTATTAATGAAACTTTCCGACGCTTCGCCAATCACGCTGTTGACTTCTTCAAAACTAAACTGCAGTTCATGATGAACACATTCTTACAGACGGATCCTATCGTTAACTTAAAAAGTTCCTAATTAATCTTTGGAACTGAACCTGAAATCTGTTATTAAGGCTTCTTCTCTATCACAATTTGTCACCCCTCATGACTCTAAAATTCTTCGTCTCTACGGATCCCTAAGATTCGCAAACCAGGAATGCAATTTCTGCCTCTTATCGGCACCGTTGGTTATCCAAAATATTCTCTGGCAAACTATCCAGCATATTGAAACCCTTTACTAGGAAACTGATTTGTAAATATTAGTAGTAGTTGTTAATTAAATAAAAATTATGAATTAGTCATATCACAAAATATTACGGTAATTGTTCTACTTCTGTGATAATATGTTATGTTTAAAAACAAGCAATATATAGATATAACAAACACATGACACCACAAAGAAATAATAGTCTAAAATAATATTTCTAGTATTTTGCGAGTTTGCATAATGCAATAAATTGGTCGACATCATAAATTTTCCGCAACCTGCTCATTCTGTTCTAAAAGTACAAAAGCCATAGTTGCAGTGAAATGATAAACATTTAAAATGCTTAAATTAATGCTCAGCAATATATATTCATAGAAAAAAAATAAACTGAAGAGAAAAAAAAGGAAAATTATCCTATTATATTTCGTAGCTACGTCTAACCAAAAACGCTAACCAAAACTTGTCATCCAATTTCTCACAACTAATAATATACACCAGTTCCAGAATACTAATACACGATTTTAAACTAATAACATTAATATATTATTCATTACATTAATTAAAAAAAAACAACTGCGCAGGTCATTCAAACTGAACTCAGCAGGTATAGATTATCAGCAAAAGCAGAACGTGACAAAGTTCACTAACCTCACCAATATCATTTACAAAGAGATTGCAACGAATCTGAAGTGTGTAACTTATCAACGGTAGGTTTCCCATGCTGCTCTTCCTCAATAAGACTTCTAAAATAACGAGCAGCTTTGGTAAATCAACTTATAAACTCCCCTGTCATTTTTAACCCCATCTTTTATTAGCTTAAATTAAATACCCGGGTTTTTGTAATTTTGAACTCTGAATTTCATTCAATCAAAAATTAAGAGTTAAAACTGTTTTGGGTTTCAAGTAACAGTTTTTGTAAAGTGGTATCCGTAAACATTACGTATTTATAAATTATTAAGTACATAGTCTCAAATAAAGTCAGGCACTTCCTTGTCGCGTTGGTGGTTGATTTATGATACACCACGCACGACGACAAGATGAGTTCGTTAATAAACAAGATTTTATGGATAAAAAGCTGCTAAACTTTTCTTGGGTAAGGTTTCTATGTGACAAAAAAAACACTCACAATTTGTGTCTATACTGCAAAGTGTACTAATTCAATCCTAGGTCGAGGAACAGTCGACATTACTTAAAAATTCTCTCGGCGTCTCTACCCAGTCGCGGAGAGAAGGGGGAAATGTTCCTCCCCAAACGAGGGTTGAAAACTGACATCGTGGACCTCGCGTTCGTCAAGGGACCTTCGAGGTCCAGATCTTGCAGCCAAGCGGCGACGTCCTCACCCGAATCCCTCCCCAGTCTCGGAGTAAAGTTATGCTGTTGTTTACCTTAAAAAGTTTGAAAGAATCTTTTCTTTTACAAAGTTACTTCCACAGGCCACTGTAATATTTTCAAATGTTCTAAATTCCTTTTGCGTCAGTTGTAGATGAATCAGCCGCGCGGAGCCTTCCCCAATCGATCAGTCACTTTGAACTTCGTTCAGTTAAGTTCAGAAGAAGTGTGATTGGTGAAACGTCAGCAAATGCGATTCATCAACAATCGACACAGCAGGAATCCATAAGACATGAGAAATAGATGACGACAAAATATATTTTACCATCGTTGACTGCAACAACGACCAGAGGAGATTCCCTGAGCACGTCTAGTATGCCGCTGGCTTGATCTTGGTCCGCTCTGTACATTTTGCCGTTCCTCTTCCTCCTGCCTAACCGTTGCCCGAACCAAAGATCCGACGGATCTTTTTTCACCTCATCCTGATGATCGTAGTTGTTCGAGGTCGCCTGGGCTGCCGTGTTGGAATTTTGAAATCATATAATTTTTTCAATTTATTCTACACTTTTTAAATAATTAGCTGATATTCTGTAACACTGCAAAGTGGTGAATGGTTTGGTGGAAACTAACCATAGCGCATTTCTTTCATAGCTCTCGCATTTTTCTGCAGAAATAGTATAAAAATAATTTGTTAAAAACTTAAGGAACTCATTTATAAACAAAATTCTTAACTTTCTACGAAATGTAGCTTTTTCGAGATCACTCAGTTCTTTTGACTATTTAGTTACCGTGGTTCAGCGCAGCAATCTATGTCGGCTAAAAGTGCAATAACTATAAATTAACGTCTAAACACAGTTAACAGTCATTTACTTAACAAAATCAAGATTTTTTCTTAAAACCAGACATTTTGGGGCACCGTATTTAGTTTTAGTAATGCGCCTCTAGACCTATCATGATGTAATATTGGGTTTAAAGACCCTTTAGCGGCGTGATATACAGGGTGTTTCAAAACAAACGCGAAAAACTTAAGGTGGTCATTCCTTATTTAAAATAAGGGTAGTTCGTTATATAAATGTTCGGTCAAAGGTCATCGGTTAGGGAAAGTGCACACAACCAATATAGCATAAAAAAAAAGTTTTTTATCACCATATTTTGGGGGGGGGGATTGAATTAGACTACCTCTATCCTTAACTAAATTTAAGGAGAAACTTATTCAATTATGTATGCTTTTTTTATTATATATTTTTATATTTACCGTTTTAAAATTTATTTTTTTCCGTGTCATTGTATAAGCTTTCTCATTCTCCTCCATTCGTTTTAAAAAACATATATATGCAAAAAGTTTGTTGTAATACTTATTTAAAATTTTAAGACAAAAATTAAAAAAACATTATTCTTCCGCCATATGTGTATCTCCGTATATACGTATATCTCCCTAATGGTTGGTTTTGATAAAAATTACACTTTATTCTCAGATTTTTTGTTATAAGATTATTTAAGATTTTGCCATTAAATTTAAAACAGTATATACGATTTAAAAGCTTCGTTTTAAATTGAAATGTTTCTTAGTTATTGATTTAGTAAATTTAAAGTGAAATAATAAAAGTTGTAAAAAATCAGATTTTGGGTCATTATTATTTATCAGTTTGATGGTAATTATAGCTAATACTGAGTTTTTCACACTTATTTATTAATTATAACAAGTTATAAATCAATACGAACGCAAAACTATTAAATTTTTAACATTACAAATACCTACCAATCTACATTTATATAAAATTAGCGAAAACACAAAGAATTATATAGCACTAACAAAATAATAATATTGATGATAACATGATATTTTACGTAATATATGAAAATAATATAATAATACTTCAATAATAATAATTTTTTGCGTTTTGTTCTTAACGTTTTCACAATTTATTTTACAAAATTTTGAAAAACGCACATTGACGCCTTTAAAGGATTAAATTAATTTTATTTGTTCATAGCGGAACTTAGTATATTTATTTTGTGATGTGTCATCGTTCGTTGTTGAATTTTGAGTGAGTAGGTGTTCGACTCACCAAGACATAATGCAGTCAAGATCAGCAAACAGTTCACTGCGGTGACGTAACCCATCCCCGAATCAAACGCCGGACACTACTGACTATTCCCCAGAGGAGGGATGGTAATTTATATGCCCCAACACCTAGATTAGCGACACCCCAGAGTTGCTCAGACGACAACATGCCGCTTTCGATTTATCCTCCATCAATCCGTTGATAATCCCGGAACAAACAGTTTCACCGACTCAATCTCAAATAAACTTAAGGTTAAATGGAACCGTTGGTTAAGCTGCATGGGTATGTTGGAAAAAGTTATTTTCAATTGCCCGCTTGAAGTTAATAGAAAGATTTTTGTTGGTTAATTTAACCGCTATAAAAGTAGTGGTAAATTCAAATTCTTAACCTGGTAACTTTGAACGTGCAGGAAAATGACGCTTCGCACATTAGTATTCTTTCAAATATTTTTGGGTCGCAAATATTTATTATCATCAGGTTTTCGTTGATTTGCGTTGACCACACTGATTTACTTTCCGCGACATATGTTTTCGTTTCTTGTATGATTGTTGATTTCAATTTTTGGTATTGGACTTCTTCTTGCTTAGAGGAGGTCAACCATTAGGATGTTTATATTAATTCATTAATTAAACAGTTAAATAACGGAATTATGGAAAATGGCTCCTATTCTACTCTGTATCTGCTTATATAATGTTTAAAGGGTGCGGAGGTAAAGGAGAGCCATATACATTGTCTCGCATGACTGATTCCCATATGGGTGAAAGATAACCCGAGTTGCAGTTAAGATTGTTAAGTTGTTAGGTCTAGGATAGCAAGCCCACAGAGTTAACTGTTGTCCTTTCTGTCATTCACACCTTATTGACCATATATTAAAAGTTGAAATCGGACTTCAAATCTTATTCGATCCAATTAAAATTCTTGCATGTAATCAGTTCATCTGCCAGAGAAATTTCCGAGAATTCATGGAAATCTGTAAACAACTGAACAATTTGAGAATCATTGATTTATCCGAAACAATGTATATAGCAGCATATAAGTGGAATGCCATCAGTTGAATAAGCCAATAGGGTGATTAGCGCAACATCAGCAAGTTCGACTCAGCACAAACCGACGCAAGGGGAATCCAGAAGATTTGCAAATAGTATTATAGTAGCCTGTGGAAGTTTCTTTCAAAAATTAGTTAGTTTGTACATTAATAACGACGGGGTTGGAAATATAGCTTGATACAATGCGTTCCAAGCTAAGATGCTATGTAAGGTTATGAATCCTTGATAATCTTATGTATATTTGAATGAAATTCAGCACAGATTCACAGCTTTTTTATGATTTGATTTCTTCCCGCGTTTTGGTCGTCTTGCAACTAATTAAGGAATAACTGATATGATACTTTAATCAACAAAATTATTCACCCTATTTAGGGTGCGACACAGCCATACCTTTCTAAAAAAAACTACACACAATAGCGTGACTTAACTTTATTTTGAAAAATGTTTCAATAGAAGCTACATAAACTTAAACTGTAAAAAACATATTAAAAAAATAGTTTGCAGGAACAGTAATACGTAAAATCATATGTAAAGTATAAATATATTGCTACTCTTTTATGAAACACCTTATTTAATTGAAAAAAATAATAAAATATTGGTCTTTCGATTAAAATGTTTTTCAAAATATTGGTTAATATGGGAAATATAGTACTTTGCCACAATATTGCGTCACCCTGTATATATATGTTGCATTAAATAGAACAATAAACATAATCTAAATTTCAAATTAAGTATATTAGTAACAATGTCCAAATAAATGCTAAATTATAAAGACGTTTGTTTTATGTTTAAGGTTATAAGATGTTATTTCTTCATATTTCTTAATTAATTAATTAATTAAATTAATTAATTAAAAAGTTTAATGTGTTTATAAATGTTTTTAAATGTATTTCGGCGTTGTATGAAAAAGCACTACCATACAAAAGCGGTTTATTAATAGCAACCTTACAAACTAACCGAAGCTACCAACTTGAAAGAGAAACCGTGCTTTTCTGTCATCGTTAAAGTTGCGAGATTTATTAAAACGTAAAGTTTTCGCTCTACCCTCACGGCTCGCCGCGATTACAACCGTCGAAACAAACGGCTACGTATCGACAAAAAAGGGAAAAAACTGCGCCAAAAAGATTAAACCGGATTTTGCAAAATTTGCGACCGATCGACTAACAGATTAAAACAATTATAAATAACGATCGGCTTTAAGGGATTTCGCCCGTCGTCCTTGTACCTATGTTTCGTCCTTTTTAATGCCCTTAAAACCGTTTGATCCGGATCCAGTTTAAAATCCACGTAGATTCTCGGCTGAATTTGCGTGGATTTTTGAGTATACGCCCAAGCTTTCCATTTAACAGTCTCTCTATCATTCTGGCAATTTTTTTTTTAATTTTTCGCTCATATTTTTCTTTGTCCTTCACCAGTCGATTTTTGCTTTACAAATATTTATGCAGCTTATTAATTTTTTATGATATGCAATATATGATTCGAAAACTAATAGAGGAGTATAAAGAATGGGACTTGATAGTCAACATAGCAAAGACAAAGTATCTATGTGTGGGAACTCAGGACGGAAATTTGGAATTAGGCAATGGCCAAGAAATCCTTCAATGTCAGGAATATGAATATCTGGGCATCACATTCGACAACACTGGAACAGATGCAAAAGAAATAGAAAAACGAATAGTCTAAGCCAAAAAAGTAATAGGAGCTCTGAATGGTATCCTATGGAGCAAAAAAATATCCAAGAAACGGAAATTTAATATCTATGAATCAATGGTAAAAAGCACCCTTTTATATGGATCAGAGACATGGAGAATTTCCGATAGACATAAGAAAAGGGTTGAGGCTGTCAAGATGGATGCAATTAGAAGATCAATGCGCATTTCACGAAGAGAAAGAACAAGAAACGATACCATAAAACAGCGAATGGGATTAGAAGGCACAATGACGCACTTCGTACGGACACGTGGAAACAATGTCAAATACCCGATGGCCGGAAAGGATACTCCACTGGCAACCAACAGGTAGAAGAAAACGAGTTTAGGTGCCGGCCAACGTCGAAGGACGTTCTGAACCGATAGGTACATATATATATATATATATATATATATATATATATATATATATATATATATATATATATATATATATATATATATATATATATATATATATATATATACATATATATATATATATATATATATATATATATATATATATATATATATATATATATATATATATATATATATATATATATATATATATATATATATATATATATATATATATATATATATATATATATATACATATATATACATATATATATATATATATATATATATATATATATATATATATATATATATATATATATATATATATATATATATATATATATATATATATATATATATATAAATATATATATATATATATATATATATATATATATATATATATATATATATATATATATATATATATATATTAATTTTTTAAGTTGTTTCGTTTTCAGTTTTCAAAAAAACTGGACAAACGTTTTTCCAACCTAATTTATTTTACATCTTAAATTTAAATTAATGTTTTTATTGTATTTTCAGATATTTTCAAGAATACACGCATTTTTTAATATATTATAAAAAAATGTCAATTTGGACAATGCAAAGGTTTTTGGTAAGAAATAATAAAAACAACTAAATGAAAGGTTATCCTTACACTTATATATTATTTACATTTTACATTACCGAAGAAAGGTTTGGAAAATGTAACAAGCCCTAGATTTTTAATGATTTCATTTAAAAGAGCTTTTGCGCCTGAGTTGAATAAAAACGTTTCGTTCTCGAAAATTAGCTTCTAATATTATCACCAGCGATCACCAAAGGACGTATTTGCGTCTAGGGGGGTTCGTTTCTTCATACGTCCCAAACCTTTCCCTAAAAATTCACGTCCCAACCCGACGTTTCGTCGTCCACCTCCTTGAAACTCTTCCTGTATTTTTCCCTAAAATATGATGTGTCCGTCTGACTTCGTAGCTTCGGTTTGAACGGTGACTGCAGGTGACTTCTAGCCAATCTATCCCAATCGAGACCTGAAACGCCCCTTCCAAATGGCACCCGATAAAATAAAGCTCAAATCGACGCACCTGCGAACCACCTATTCTTCCTGATCTGTTTAATGCCGTCCTTCGACATACCCAGTCGATCCCACGAGTCCACCTTGCACAGCTTGTAGATGATCTTCTTTGACTCTGTGCTGACGTAATCCGGAAAATGGACGAACTCGATCCCTTTTAAGATTTTATCCAGCGTCCGGTTATGAGAAGGATCGTTCGTGCGGAATGGAGTCCTCCCTACCAGCAACTCGTAGATGAGTATTCCGAGGGCCCAGTAATCGACCGCCTTGTTATGACCTTTTCCTTGGATGACCTCGGGTGCGAGGTACTCGGGGGTACCGACAAATGTGAACGTCTTCGATCCGTTGGGTACCATCTTCGCGAACCCGAAATCGGTCAGCTTGAAGTAACCGTTCGCGGCGACCATGACGTTTTCCGGTTTCACGTCGCGACTAACGACGCCTCTTGTGTGAAGGTAATCGAGGGCTTCGACCACACAGCCGGCTATAAACTGAGCGTGACGTTCCGAGAACTTTTGGAGCTTTTGGTTTTGCAAAAGAGCGAAAAGGTCTCCTCCCAGGCACGACTCCATCAGGAAGTATATATACTTGGTGTCTTTGTACGTCCTATATAGACGTACTATGAAGTCAGACCTGGTGTTCATCTGGAAAAAATTGAGATGGAGGCGGTTCACGATGAAATAGAAGAGCGAACACCTGTATGAACCTCTCGTTCACGGCGTGATGTTCCATGTGCTCGCGAACAATCTCCGCTTTTGCCATCTTCTTTAAAGCGAACACAAGCTCTTTGCGTGTAACGTGCTGCACCAGGTCGACCCTACCGTAGCCACCGACTCCTATGGTCGCGACCGATTTCAGGTCGTCTAGGTGTATGTTTTGGAATTCCGGGGGTAATTGGACAATGGATTTCGCACGTTCGACGTCTATTTCGGTAATTCTCACGTCGCCGAAATATTTCAGAAAAGCCGACCTCGACAAGGTGAGACATTCCACCCCTAAATAAACGTGTAACGTTAGTACCGGTGCCGAATTGATATACTTATAGACCTGGTGGATCCGCGGTGACTGTGGCTTTGCGGAAATTCTCGTTTTGCAATGCAAGATCTCCGAAACACTGATGTTTTGCCAGTTTCGCGACAACACCTTCGCCGCTCTTGGACACCGTTACCGTGCCCGCCCTGATTATGTAAAATAAATCGCCATGGTCACCTGAAATTATGTATCGTTGTAAGTTAAAATTGGATTTGCACAACATTTTAATTAATTGAGAAAAATAAATATTTTATTGAAGAATTAAACCCGTTAGCAGCAGGCTTCTCGTCAAAGTATAGTCTAGATATTTAACTAAATTATGTAAGGGAAAATTAGTGAGTAAACCTTTATTTTGCTAAAATGGTTGCTTAGTATTTTGTGGCCAATGTTTAATTTTTTATAATATTTACTCAATTGTTCTGTGAAACCACTTGCTGATAATAGTAAATCATGCAACAAATGCGGTAAACGCCATTTGACTCACGAGTTTATTCGACACGAGCGGAGCGAGTGTTTAATAAACGAGTAACTTAAAAAGTTTACCGAACGTGTGGCATATTATACTTTTTCTACGACTGTACATGTTCGCAAAACAACGCGAACACATTCACTGGCATGACCGTCAGAACTGCCGAACGTCAAAATTCAAGCGTGGGAAATATCCGAGTGCTTTACCTTCCCTAATAATTTTGGTGTCCGATTTGAAAAAATGCTGAGTAACAAGATTGGCGACGACTCTAAGCGCCTCGGCACTCTTGGTGTTGATCTTTTCTACGTTCTGCAGGAACTTGAAAACTTCCTCCTCCTTCTTTAAGACGGTGTACGTCTTTATTGTCTGATATGCCCGCCTGCTCAGAACCCACACGACGCCATCTTCTGAACAGATCACCGAAGACAGCCGCTTCTCGTTATAAAGCAATGCCAGTTCTCCGAATACTCTTGTGTCTGAGAACTGATGTTTCATTCTTCCGTCGATAAAAATCTACGGATGAAAATTTAGCGACGGCGAACGCTTTCCCTACTACGTTACCTGGTAAGTGCCCTTGTAAGAAACGAATATTTCCGACCCTCCGTCGCCCTGCTTAATCAGAGTCTCTTTAGCTTTGACCTGACGTACGGTCATGGCGTTCGCTATCTTCTCCGCTACATCCTCGTTGAGAATTTTGTTGAGGAATTCGTTATCGTTCAGCGCGTTCTTGATTATCTCCATTTCCCTACACCGAGCAAAACATTATACTGGGTAGTCTTAAGTAATACGGTACCTTACTCTGGCGACTTTGGATAGCGGGGAAAATCATCCAGTTCTTCACCAGGGTGGTACTGGACTGGAGTGGCCCTAACACCTTGCCTTCTGGAGTTTCGTCTCGCTGGAAACCCTTCGCCATCTTCGTGCCTTGTTTTGTGAGTGACACGCGTGATACGGTTGCTGCCGCTGTCGCTGCAACTGCAGAACCACTTCATGTTTCAACGCAAGTATTTATTATTTTCTGTCGGTCTCATATCTATGAAGGTCGGCTATAGAATACTTCAAAATTGCGAAATCTTAAAGTCGCGTTATCGTTTTATCTCTGCGTTTTTTTTTTTTTTTTGATAGGATGTGTGTGATATTGAAACGTGAAACCCCGATTTTGAAATTTATCGATTAATTGTCACCTGCGACCAGATTTTTGTCATCCGGTCGAAGAATAAATACACTACAGAAGCGACAATGAGCTGTTTCAAAGTCGTCGGTAGATATCTTAGCAACGGTTCATAATGCGCATATTCTAAAATTATATTCATCGTATAAGTAAGAAAAGTAAGGTTATGTTTTTCGTATGGAACGCCCCATGGACAAGAAATGACATTAAATAATCTTATCACTATGGGGCATGGACAGTGATGGAAACAGCAATGGACAAGCTAGAAGCATTCAACTGATGGGAAAAGGCATTCCAGAAAAAAACAGACAGATGAGTATCAGGAAGAAGAAATCATTCGTGACTTATGCCAGTGATTTGGATTGACAAGTATGGTAAATAAATTTAGAATTGTTATAATGATAGCCAAAGTTCGTAACGCACAAGGCACATGAAGAATAACAAAAATATGGGCTCCACCCTGAAGCCGAATTTTGTTCAGTTCAAATCGGATAAAAATTTTTTTTTTTCGGAATCTTAATTGGCCTAATAGAACAGCTATTATCTGGACTGGGCATCTCACTGTCAACCCGAAAATAACTATCAAACAACGCATCGCCAAATGATCGAAACATGTCTATTATTATTATCTATTTATTTATAAAGTAGTTTCGATATAAATGTTGTAAAACCTATTGACGGTCAATGTTCCAGTGTGAAAAAGTACAGCTTCATTTTATCATTTCAAGTGATACTTGCCTCGCCATTAAGAATAGCAACGAGCGATTATCAAGGAGTAAAGAGAAAACACGGACAAGACGTAAAACACCTCCATTTGAGAGCACTCCTGTAAATTTCTGCGCAAGCCCAGCCTAGAGAAAATGTTTGTTTTTTAATGAACACTAGAGTGAGTTAGTATTTTTTTAAAAGCAAGAATGTTTCGCGTTGCTGGATGAAAAAGTATTTGGACTGGTGACTTGTTTTATGGGCGAAATAATTTGCAATGTTTATATCACAAATTACTAGGAAACCTTTTGTCGTATTATCAGTCAAAGAAGTCCGCTTGATCAGTTGTTTTAATTAAACAAATGGTGTTGAAACTTTTTAACACTGATAATTGAACAAATTATTTTTTCTACTCCCGTCTGTAGAATACCTAATTACGCACCGATCTATCTTGCGGGAAGCGTCACTTTACCACGTCAGTGTCGTCTCCCACGAACCCGAGCCACTTCGGACATTTCCGGGATTTTATCGCACGGGTTTGGACGCAATCAGATGTTTTCGAAGATATTTCCCACGCTTTGAATTTTGACGTTTGTGAACGTATTCGTGTTGTTTTGCGAAAATGTTCCCAAAAACTAACGGTCGTAGAAAAAGTATAGTATGCAACACGTTCGCTAAACTCACTCGTATATTAAACACTCGCTCCGCTCGTGTCAAATAAACTCGTGAGTCAAATGCCGGTTACCGCACTTGTTGCATAATATACTATTTTGGGGACACAATTCAATAATGTTCTCACTAAAATCTATTCGGGAATCTTTGCCAGTGTTAGTAAGCAAAATAATAACGCTTAATCATTTTTTTAAATGTTTTTTAATAATAAATAATAAATTTCCAAAAACGAATTTCGGAATTCGACTCACGAGTTTATTTGACACGAGCGGAGCGAGTGTTTAATAAACGAGGGACTTAAAAAGTTTACCGAACGTATTGCATATTATACTTTTTTTTACGACCGTTGGTTTTTGGGTACATTTTCGCAAAACAACGCGAATGCATTCCCTGATATGACCGTCAGAACTGACAAACGTCAAAATTTAAATATCAAATATCTCCGAAAACATCCGATTGCGCCCAAACCCGTGCGGTAAAATCCCAGATATGTCCGAAGTGGCTCGGATCCGTGGGAAACGAAACTGAAGTGGTAAAGTGGCTCTTTTCGCACGTGAGTGAGTGAGTAGAATACATTTATAACTAGTTTGAACAATTTGAATTAAGAAAAAAATGTGAAAATATATATGCACATAATACTTGACACTAATAATAATAAAACAAATTATTAGCAACTTCATTTTCAAGCAAAACTTTTATGAGCCTTCGAAAGGAAAAAAAAAACATGAAGTAACGTAAGAGGTAATGGTGTCATTAGCATAAAACGTTGACATCTCGCATCTCAAAAAATTAGATCCCGCTTTTATATTAACTTTTTTCCATTGGCAGGTACAATTGCAAATTTACTTTAATATCTTAATAATTTGTGAAATGCTCAAAAATAGACCGTTATTTATGTGGTTTCCAAACTAGCGAAAATTGTTTTAGTTTTTTTCCCATTTAGTTTTAATTTGTTATTTACAAACCAACAATTTCTATTTTTTCATGCTTATAATATAATAATAATAATCTTAAGTCTATTACAATCATTAACCCCGTTGAAATATTTCGGACCCAATTTGTCGTTTCTGCTTGACGTTTATTCTGGGGTTCGATTGCTCCGTAATTGACGTCGAAACGTTGACGAATTAAAGCGTGTGTTTGTCCGTTTCATTTGCGCCTATCGTCGAACCAGCAAATTTGCAAAATAAACAGCAATAGGCGCAGAAAGTGCGTACCTGGTGTTGGGTGTAGGAAAATTTAACGCCAGCAGTTTGCCGCAAGCAATTCGTCGCATAAGCGATTTGAAGTTTACAATCACTGGCGTATAGCGTGAACGATGGATTTGTATATGTCCTTCTCTTATTTTTAACACGTAATAGAAAATTAAAAAATCAAATTTAATTATAATAAAAGTGTCTTTAGCGGTGCCGCAGGATTCGCAACGTCTCTTCAACATACAAAATTGCGCGCATAGAAATCGTCCCATTGTGAACTTTTGACTTCAATTTCATATTGTTTAATGTAAGGTTCAATTGGTTAAAATTTATTATCCTTTTTAAGTTTAGCATAGTAAAATTAATGAAAACAATCTTCTTTTTCTTACTAAAAACAAATAGAGCAACATAGCAACGCAACAGTTATTTTTTAATAATCGGTATGACTCCGTCTTGCTCTAATAATATATATTGCTTCGTTAGGGATAGATAGAATCAAGTTCGCAATTGTTTCTTGTAGGATGTTGAGCCACTCATCCTCTACTGCAACAATAAGCTCTGGGATCGAGGTTGGGTTACGAAGTCTAGCTCGAATTCTCGGTTTTAGCTCATCCCATAAATGTTCAATTAGATTGCTGCATGCAATCTTGCACCATCCTTGTGATGTGCGGCTTAGCATTATCTTCTTCTCCCATGTAGTCGACATATGGTACCACGTGATCTGATAAAATGTCCTCGATGTATCTAGTACCTGTTAAACCTCCTGCTCCTTAACCATGCCCACCTACGAAGGAAAACAGGGTCGGTTCGTGCCTCCATAGAAATTGCACCCCATATCATGCAGAAAATCCTACATAAGGGCTCCGCCCTTTATTGCAAAATTCTGCAAACCGCTCTTCCGGTCTTCAGTACACTTTTTTGTCGGTCACTACCAAAAAGGCATATTCTGGTCTCATCTGGTCCAATGTCCAATTTAGATGATCTCGTGCAAAGCGTAGGCATGCTTGTCGATAAGCTGGAGTTTTTGCACCAACTACAGTTTTTGGGATCAAGTTAATTTCCTTCAGTCTTCTTCTCACTGTTCGCTGTCCAAGAGACGTTGTAATTCACCTTCTGCCTATTCCAAGGCACCTAGCAAAGGATCCAGTCTCCTCGTACCATCGTACCATTTAAGTCAATAACAAGTTTGTTAATAATTTTTCAAAGAAACTTCCATAGGCTACTGCACTACGTTCCACTTCTGGATTCCTCCTGCGTCGGTTTTTGTTGAATCAAACTTATGTTCGGTGACGGTGCTTATGTTCCTCAGTTAGTTCCGCCCCCGTCAAACAGTATATATGCAGGTACAGAGTAAAATGCGACCCAGTTTCAATTAACCTCTGAAGAAGCCAACAGGACGATTGGCGAAACATCAGCAAGTTTGATTGAAAAGTAAGTTTGTTACTATCACTTTAACTACTGCATGAACACGTTTCATTCCTTTAACCGTAGCTAAGCATAGAAAAGATCAACACTATTGACAAATTTAACCTCATACTAAAGCATATTAATTTGTCTTCTAAATAGCATGTTTATTTTTTGGGTCAGATGAATAGGTTTCTAGAAAAAAAAAACTAAAATCAAAAATGTACTGTGGGCCGATTTCTATGCACGCAAGTTTATATTAACGATGTTCAAATGTCCTTAAAAAAAAAGTAACTCTTTTCCCTTTGCTGATGATTTGAAGTTCTTCATAAGAGTGGAGCTTGATGTGAAAAAATGCCATGCTATTAACTCCAGTAGGAGCAACAATTCCAATTATTAATTATGTATATACAGCATAAACAATGGTCTTGGACTTGGACGTTATTCTGGAGAGCCAGTTGATTTTTATACCCGAGATCGCGAACATCATAGCCTTTGCAGATGTAGGATTGTGTCAAACGATGCACTGGAGAATTATGTACATATTCAGAATATACAAGAGTGCAACCGTAATTCTTTGATTGCTTATAGTTCCTTGGAATTTTTTGGAATTCTTCGCGCAATTTCTTCACATTGTTAGAAATTGCATAATTTATATTTTTTTAAATAATTTGTCACACCTTTTATACTAAATTATAAAGTTATTAGATAATCCAATTTTAAAAAGGCAAATACCTACTCAAATTTTGCTAAGGACTTTTAAACCATAGGGCTTTCTGTTAGGGTGTCGCTTTTAATTAAGAAAATACTACGATTTCGTAGCCGCCGTTGTTTTTCCCTCGTCCCACCCCTATCCGATCCGCAAAACGGACCAACGAGACAATCGATAACATATATATTGTACGCCGGGCAAAACCCGGAATTACAACGACACACATCCAGTTAATGAAAGGGAGCACCGCCATGTATCGGCAAAATTTG